TGAGCACCTAGGGCCATAAAGCCTGCTTCAATATTTTAAAATATATTTTTGAGATCATAATTACTTCAGTTGGCTTTTCCTTTTGTCTCACCTGGCCCTTGATTTACCCTCTTTGCTTTCAAATTCATGGCCCCATTTTGCTTTAATTGTTTCTCTTTGAATTTGTCCTAAGGATGGCTTCAGGACTTTTTTAGGTCTAAAGGAAAGGGTCAGTTGTTGCCATGTAAGCAACTGACACCATAAAATCATACCATGAGAGGTTTACTAAAGGGGGAGGATATAGAGGCAGACTCTGGATAGGGGTGGAGGGAAAAAGAAAAAGGGGGGAGCAGAAACAGGCCTTTTATAAGGGGATATAGTACATTCACAGAGGAGGACATATGACTACTGGTAACAGTTGGAATGTGTTGCTTGTTGGCAGCTGGTGATGGGGAATCCTACTGTCACTGAGTCCCTGGGGCTGGTTGTGGAGGTGCCTGATTGCTAACTTTGGCTGCATTGGGGATTGGGTGTGCACACTAGAAACCCTAATGTGAAACATAAACTTCTCAGGAATTTCTACTGAAGTGCGAATTTCCAGTATAGTGGCTATGTTTGCTCATGAGGTGGAAGCAGAGCTGGGAAGACCTGTGGTTGTGAGTGAGTCATTTGATCTCTGAGCACATTGTAGGGGAGTTGCTGTTCTAGTGATGTCCTTATAGCCTTTTGGCCCTTTCCAAAAAGGGTCTTTGGGCTGGCTGTAATGGGAGCACCAGTGAGCAATAACATGGGGGTCCTTTCCAGGGTTTTCCAGGGGCCAACATGTGAGTCTACTGTGCTGCTATGTATCTAAGTATCTGTGCTGCATTGTTTTCCCAGAAATATATGGTGCTGAGCAAGTGGCTCAGGCAGATTATACCTCATGTACTGTAGCCACTGTGCCTGGCAGGAGGCAGGTGTTAAATTATCTTTAAAATTGTTTGTGTGTGTTGGCATGTTAGAAGTTCAGGGTGACCAAGAAACAGACCACCACTCCAATTGTAGTGTCTGGAAAGGCAAACTTTACTCTTAAATTGAGAGTCTTTGCCCCTGCCCAACACATAAGCTGCACTTGTTTTTTGTTTTTGTTTTGTTTTTAAATTTAATTTATTTATTACATATTCAGTGTTCTGCCTGCATGTGTGCCTGCACACCAGAAGAGGGCACCACATCTCATTATAGATGGTTGTGAGCCACCATGTGGGTGCTTGGAATTGAACTCAGGACTCTGGAAGAGCAGCCAGTGCTCTTAACCTCTGAGCCATCTTTCTAGCCTTATACTTGGATTTTATTAAAAGGAAGATGGTGGCTATATCTTTTATCCTTTGGCTGGTGACTTGACTTCAACCTTATTTATTTGGATATTCTAAAAATAATTGCTGCATAGGTAGTAAAGAAGGAAGGGGAAGAGAGGCACTGCTCTAAGGAGAATAGTCTTTCTCCAGGTCATTAATTTCCTCTCACAGAGAAGTGAATATTTTAGTAAACAAAGGTTTTACTGGGTGGGGGAGATCAAAAGGATTTGAATTCCTTGTTTCCAAAATGAGCTTAATAGTTTTTTTTTTTTTTAGAAAAGACTTAAGTTTGATTTTTTTTGACAGATCCATTTTCCTCCTTTCTCATCCTCCTCTTTCTCTCCCTCCTCCTTGTTCTTCTTGTTCTATTATTCTTACTCTTTTTACAACATTTTTTTTCCAAACTCATTCATATGTTGGTATCCTGTCTCATGTTGGAATAAGAAAGTGCAATGGGGAGTAGTAATGGGAATACCCATTTAGTATCAGTTGATTGAATAATTTTGCATCAGTCCTCTAGTGCAAAAAATAATTATTACATCTATTTTATTAGTATGGTTTGAGCTGAGTGTCCCAGTTCATACAACAGTTTCTTGTCGGAGATATTGACTGATGTTCATTGGAATGTTAGGTCTATACCCAGACTGTTGTAGGATATTTGATCACATATGAATCCCAAGATTGTGTTGGTTACTGGAAAAACCTGTTGTGGTGTGGTTCAGGCCCAGCACACACCTTTAATTCAAGACCTTTCTGCTTGCCTATTGTAAACAGGATTCCATAAAGTCAACCATCAGTTAAGATGTGGGAGTAAGCAACCAGTTGACCAGGAGTAAACATAGGAAAAAAAAAAACCTGTAGGGAGTAGGAAGTCAGGTTCATGGATAGAGAGATGAACAGGAAGTTAAGAGAGAGCCCTTCGTTTGGAGGGCTTTTGAGACAACATTGTGAAGGAGGCTTTCTTCTTTTTGGAGGTCGGCTGAGTATGGAGGTCAGCTGGGTGTTTTCTCTGCCTCTGAGCTAGCAGGCTTTCATTTCAGCATCTGGCTCTCAAGTCTTGTCAAATTGACCGATTAAGATTTTTGTTGAAAACAACACCTGATCATCCTTTGACTGGGGCCTTCCTTTTTCAGTTTTTTGAGACAAGATTTCTCTGTGTAGCTTTGGCTGTCTTAAAACTGGCTCTATAGACTGGGCTTGCTTCAGATTCACAGAGATCCAACTAAATCTGCCTCCCAAGTGCTGGAATTAAAGGTGTATGCCACCCACCACTGCCCAGCAAACTCAGTAAAGTTTAATGGCTGTTAGTTAGAAAGGGTTTTGGTTCCTTTGGGGGATAAACTTCCGTCTTTAAACATTTCCTTGACCGTCTTCCCTAAATTTATAATCCATCAATCTCTGCTATATTCTTCAGTCTAAATGCAACTTAAGCACGAAAGGACTCAGGCTACATTCCCCCTTTAGAGATGGCTTTATAAGTGAGGCTGCCTGCTGTAGAGAAGGTACTGTAGAGAGAACATTGCAGCCTGCACCACTGTCCCCAAAGGCCCGGAACACGAGGAAGAGCCTATAGAACACTGGTGGGGGAGGCAGAAAGTGAGTTCGTAGGTGGTGGAGTGATGGGAGAAAGGGAAGCAAGGAAATAGGCTGTTTGTGATCTATGAAGTGATGCAGAGCTGGAGATATGAAGGTAGTTCTGTTGTTTTTCCTTGGGAAATGGTTACTTCTACTGTCCAGTAGAGCCATTAACAGACAGAAGTGCCAGTGGGTCTGTGTGTTCTTCCTTCAGGAAAACCCGTCACTGTGTGAGTCACTGTGACTCCTGGAGTAGCATCTAGGCCAGGAAAAAAGGCAGTATGTGTAGAGTCATATTATCTCACTACTCACAACTGACTTGACATGCCCTGTTGTGTTTGCTTCTCATCATTGGCCTTTCTGCTAATCTCTTTGGTTGGTTGTGGTGGTGGTTCAACCATGAGACTGAATAACTCTATGTTGAGTTACAGTTTTTCTGTTTTTTTAAACTTTGGCAGAGGTTTCTTTCTTTCTTTTTTTTTTTTTTTTTTGCATCTTTGGATTGGACAAGCACTTGACGCCCAGTGTTAGTGTCTGAAGAATATAAAACAACCCAAGTAGGCAAAAGAGTCCATGCAAAGCAAGATCTTTATTTGACTAGGCAGCAAAAACTGACCATTCAGGTACAACAACAGGCTTAGGAGCTGACTGCATTCCCAGATGTTAATTTTACTAACCTTTTAAGCAGAAAAATCACAAACCGCATAAGCATCTGTGCCAAGATAGTTACCATTTTCCAGAATCATTTGTTGTTTTTGATTAGGAACAATCATTATGTTTGGGGAACAAAAGAAGAATAAGGAGGAAGTTGTCAACCATCTGGAAAGCTTCAGCTCTCCTAGAACCTGGGTACTTGAACTGAATTTCACTTTATGATCAAAATTGAGTCTGAAAACAAAACTGCAGTACTTAGGATAAGTCTCATTTGTTTGCTCCCAACATCTACCTTTGTTTTCATACCTTATTCAAATCTTTGATTATCTGTTTCAAAGTAGAGGGGAGATATGGAGTGTTGGGTCCTTAGGATCCTGAGTTTAACTGTGCTTTCAGTGTTTATCCCTTACCATACTTCTTCATATGTTCACTGGTGGTGCAAACTGAGCAGCCTACTTCCTTTTTCTGCAGCCACACCATCATAACTATTAAAGACTCCATCCCTAAAAAATGTAAGATAAAATACAGCAATTGATTTTCCTTATTAAGCTTTTTTTTCTAGCCTTGTACTTTTATGTTTATATTTTTGTACTTTTATGTTTATATTTTACATTTATTTGCTAATATTTTTTTTAGAGCTCTTTGATGTGTCAGTCAGTATCTTATTAAAAATGCATTCCTTTGTAGGAATAATCATATTCCATTTAGAGTTTAAAGTGGGACACTGGAGTTTTCTGATAGTCTAGTATTGAGCTGAATGTTTAACTCTTTGGAGGAATTTTGAATGAGTCCCTGAGTGCTTTCCAGCTTTGCTTGTTTTTGTCTTTAAGAGAGGGTCTCACTGTGTTACTCTGGCTGTCATGGAAATCAAAACATCGACTAGGCCAGCCTAGAAATTCACCTGTCTCTATCTCCAGAGAGCTGGGATTAAATGTTTGAATTACTACATTTTTGTCCATCCTTTGTTTTTTATTTTTATTTTTTTTATTTTTTGAGACAGGTTTTCTCTGTGTGGCCCTGGCTATCCTGGACTCACTTTGTAGACAAGGGTGGCCTTGAATTTACAGATATATACCTGCCTTTCCCTCCCTGAGTGCTGGGATTGCAGGCATGTGCCAACACACCTGGCTTGTCCATTCTTTTTTGAAGTTAGAAATTTCAATACTGTTTGATAATATATACTCAGTTGTGTTGATCTGTTTGAATCTCTCTCTCTGAATTATCCATTAGTTGCCATTTCTCTTGCAATGCAGTATGGAATTCAGTGGGCCCAGAAATGAGAGGTGATCCTTTTTCTCTGTTCCTTGTAAAATGACATGGTAACTCCATTGAAATTCTGTGATCTGGAATAAATGTGTGGAACATTCAGAATTATGTAAATATATTCTCAATGAAGTGTACATTTACAAGGCAGTAAGTCTCACCATTTCTATTATGTATGTGTATTGGCTACTTTAGGATGCAGTATCCTATGAGGATGTACATGTGAACTTCTCTCAGGAAGAATGGGCTTTGCTGGATCCTTCCCAGAAGAGTCTCTACAAAGATGTGATGCTGGAGACTTACTGGAACCTCACTGCTATAAGTAAGAATTAGTTTTCCTTCACTTTCTAAACAAGTAGACAGCATTTCTTGGTTAGGTGCACTTCTGTGATTTCAGTTGTGAAAGAGGAGGAATGTGGTGAATGATCAGACATAGTTCTTAGGTTCACCAAAGATACTAACTTAAAATTTGCGTAATATCCAATGATATATCATAAATTTTCTGGTACTGTATTTTAGGCCACAAATTGGAAGACTACAATATTGAAGAACACTGTCAGAGTTCTAGAAGACATGAAAGGTAAATTTCATATGCGTGCTGATACAAATGTGTCACTGAAGAAATTTTAATGGGCAGCAGTGTAAACAAACGCAGCACACACAGCTTTATGTACATTGATGATTGTTAAATTCTCACAACAACCTGTATTTCAGTGTCTTAACACATGACACTCTTTGAGCCATAGCTCCCAAAGAGCCATGTTGTAGAACTGTTGAGAAAGCTGTGTCATAGCACTGTCAATCCATTTAGTTTCATACCATTCAATTAACATGAACGGTATATACATTGATTATGTGAACAGTGTATGTCAAGACCTTTTATAAGCATATAGTCCATAGTAAAGTTAGTGTTACTCATATGCTTTTAATGACTGCCTATGGTTTAGTGAGAGGAACAGTTTGTGGGAGGCATGAATGTTGTTGCCATGGGACAACCTTAATCCCTATAACACATGTCCATGGGGAACAAAAAGTTAACTAGTGTGAATGCAGTGTGAAACCTTTTGTTTGTTATTTCTTTTTTAATAGGTTTAACAGTCATTCCGGATACAAGCCTTGTGAGGATAAAGAGTATGGAAAGAAGCAAAGTACCTTTGTATGTAAAAGTTCTTTTCAGATATATAAAAGAATCCACACTGAAGAAAAACCCTATGAATGTAATCATTGTGGTAAAGCCTTTGCAAATTTCCGTAGTCTTCGAAAACATGAAAATAATCATACTAGAGAAAAACCCTATGAATGTAATCAATGTGGTAAAGCCTTTCCAAGTTACAGTAATCTTCAAATACACACAAGAACTCACACAGGAGAGAAACCCTACCACTGCAGTGAATGTGGTAAAGCCTTTGCACGTCACAGTAATCTTGATATACACAAAAGAACTCATACGGGAGAGAAACCCTATGATTGCAATGAATGTGGTAAAGCCTTTGCATATCTCAGTAATCTTAAAACACATGAGAGAAAACATACTGGGGAGAAACCCTTTGAGTGTGCTCAGTGTGGTAATGCCTATGCAAGTCGTAGTAGTCTTCAAAATCATGAGAAAAATCATACTGGAGAAAAACTCTATGGATGTAATCACTGTGATAAAGCCTTTGTACATCGCAGTAGTCTTGAAATACATGAAAGAACTCACACTGGAGAGAAACCTTTTGGATGTAATCAATGTGATAAAGCCTTTTCACGTCGCAATCTTCTTCAAATCCATGAAAGAAGTCATAGTGGAGAGAAACCTTATGAATGTAGTCAGTGTGGTAAAGCGTTTGCGAGTAGTAGTAGTCTTCGAAATCATGAAAAACATCATACTGGGGAGAAACCCTATGGATGTAATCAATGCAGTAAAGCCTTTGAATTAAAATGTGATCTTCAAATACATCAACGAATTCATACTGGAGAGAAACCCTATGCATGTAATCAATGTGGTAAAGCCTTTGCACGTCGTCGTTATCTTCGAAATCATGAAAAACATCATTCTCTTGAGAAACTCTATGAGTGTAGTCAATGTGGTAAAGCCTTTGCAATTCACAGTCATCTTCAAAAACACAAAATAACTCACACTGGAGAGAAACCATATGAATGTACTCACTGTGGTAAAGCCTTTGCATATTGCAGTAATCTTTATAGACATGAAAAAATTCACAGTAAAGAAAAACTGTATTAATGTACTCACTGTGGTAAAGCCTTTGTATATTACACTAGTCTTCATAATCAAAAATAATGTACTGTTGAAAACCCTATGTATGTAATTGATACAGTAAAATTTTGGCATGGAATTGTAATAGTCAAACACATCAAGAACTCGTATGAGTGAAAAACCCTATGAATGTAATCAATATGATGATGCCTCTGCATGTTACAGTATTCAAAGGCAGGAAAGAATTTCTACTGGAGAGAAACACCATAAATCTAATAAACTCAGTAAGGCCTTGCATTCTAAGCACATTTCTTTTCACTGAGCCATCTCACTGTTGCTCATGTAAGATCATTAGAACCATTTCTTTATTAAAATATTGTTTTCAAATTGTATGCAAATTGTCATCTTAAGGATAGAGGGACAGAATAATTTGTGTAGTAAAACCTATTTGCAAATGAAAATTATACTGCCATCTGTTTTTATGAGTTATGTTAGTTTATTCTGAGGAATAAATACTTGTTCTGAATACTTTCTCAGAAACACAGATGAATGGCTGCGAATTGTCTCAGTGGGTAAAGGTGGTTGCTGCTAAGCAGATGACCTGTGTTATTTCACCTGGATACTCACATTACTCACGCAAGTTTTTCTCTGATTGCTACACTTTGGGCTTTGACATATGCACACACACACAACAGCACATACGTATATAAATATTTTTACAACTTAAATAAGGCACAGTGAATCCATTTACCCATTGAAAGCACTTGCTGTAAAACTTCACCTGTTTGATCTCTAGAAGTAGTATTCCAAGAAATGCTTCTGTTCATCAAAAGAATGATGATTCCTGTTTAAATCTTACATTGTCCTTTTATTCTCTGATTTAAAGATAGGCCATTTAAAAAAAACATCTCAGCTGGGTGTAGTGGTGCATGTCTATAATCCCAGCACTTAGGAGATAGAGTTAGCTTGAGCTCTGGGTTTGAGGCCTGCTTGGGCCACATAGTGAGTTTGAGGATGGCATAGCTAGGTAGAGAGACCATGTTCAAAAAATCCAAAACAACTAACCAACAAAAGCCAAAACATCAACAACAAAAAATACCCCAGACCAACCAACCATATCTCCAGAGGTGTGATTTTTGCCAGAGGCAGATAGTTTCTGCAACTATGTGACATTTAGAATTCTGGAAAAATTTCAGAGGATATATAAATGTCTAGGCCTGGACAGGTGGTGAGGGTTGTTTATTGGTGACTGGATGCTGTTGATTGCTGCTGTTCATGGCTTCTTTTTTTATTTATTTATTATATGTACAATGTTTTATCTGTATGTAGACCTGCATGCCAGAAGAGGGCACCAGATCTCATTATAGATGGTTGTGAGCCACTGTGTGGTTTCTGGGAATTGAACTCATGACTTCTGGAAGAACAGCCAGTGCTCTTAACCTCTGAGCCATCTCTCCAGCCCCTGTTCATGGTTTCTTATGGTCATGGTTCTGTTCATAGTTGTGTGCAAAGAAATGAGGAAATTAGAGATGAAGATCAAACTCACTCTAAGGAATTTGACACCACGAATCAGTAGGATGTAGTTTAATGATAGTGTCTCCCTTTTCTCTTCTATCCTTTTTTTTTTTTTCCCTCTAATCTAGTGTTAGATGTTTGAAAGAGTTGAAGAGGTATGGAAAAGGTTAGAAAAAAAGAATTCACAAAGCAAATGCTGCCTACATCTGAACTAACCTCTGCTTAACTAAATTTGTTAGCCTCACTGTCATCAAGAGAGCTGTGTTAAAAATGACAATAAGAAATACACAGAGTACATTCATAAAGGGATAGATATTCATTCAGTTCTTCAGTGTACCACGGAGTTTCTTCACCTGCCAGTGATAGGAAACAAGGAGTAGGGGCATCATCTTCTGCATTATAATGACGTTTAAGGTCCGAAACGTTGACTGTTAGGGGCTTAACTGTGTTTCTTAGTACCCCGGTCATATGACATAACTACTTGTAGTTCCAGGTACAGAGGTTCTGGGTTCCTTGGGCACCATGTATGCAAATGTAAACACACATGGGACTCCATAGAATAAAATGTGCTTTCTTCATGTATACGTTATTTTTTTTAGAAAAAAACAATTTAATTTATTTGTATTGTTGGATCACAGACTTGGAATGGAGTCATTTGAGATTCTGAGTATGTGAGAACGTTCCAAGAAAACAGTCTTGTGACCGCAGTTTCTTCTAATCACATAATTGCTCTTTGGATTTGTTTTTGTGCTCCACTGAGGTGTAGCAGATACGAGTGAGTGATATTGATTGATGTTCAATTAAAAGTTTAAACTATGTTTCTATGGGAAAACATGTTTGTGCTATGAGGATTGTCAAGATAAACCTTATTGAAGCCCATAGGGAATGGACAGCGAGGCATCAGCAGCTCCTACCTGAACCACTGCACACAATGTTCTACTAGGCACTCTTGACATACTAGTGAAATCTCAAAATGGATCCAAGGCCAGGGCAGTGACTGCTTCCACCTTCTTTACAAAAGTCTCCTTAGGGGACCTTGCCCTACATTTTCTTTATAGTTAACACCAACCTGATTGATTGTTATTAGTGCTTGAGGCTAGCATGGGATGGTTTGATTGTCTCTTCACTCATATAAAGGCTTATACACTGCACCATAAAGTTAGACCTTGAGTCTGGTCTCTGGAGTCTGATTTTTGGGAATCTATGTGGGCTCCATCAGCACTCATCCCCCTTCTCTTGGTTCCGGATCCCCACCTTGTGCCACATGTGTGCTTGTTCTTGTCATTGTAACAGCTTGAATTCATGAGAACTTAACTCAGATGACATTTCTTACCCTCAACGTACAAATTGACTCAGGCTCTGTATGAACTTCACTATTGCAGAAGACTTCAGTCCAGCTCTTCCGTTGGCTCCATTCTAACTGGTCATCACGTGTCTAGAGCAGTGACAAGAGCTAAATAGGAATTAGAAATCAGCAATGACATAAGAGAGTAAACACTCTCCTAAGAGCTGAGTGAGAACCATGGGCTAGAAACCAGGAAATGTTTTGCCTTATGTGAAGCTTGTGCATCATTTTTAAAAGAAACACAAGTATTAAGATCACATCTATTGGTGTTCTTGAAAGTTGTTTAGGATTGTAATTTCTGGTTTCCAAAAGGAGGATTTTCGATAAAAAAAAAAATGTATGGGGTAGAGTCCAAAAGAATATCAAAAAGGAAGATGATCTAGGGGAAAAGATCCTTGTTTAATTTTGGGTCATTTGATCATAAATTCAGATTGTTTACAAAATCCGAAGCTACTTAAGGAAGATGGGGAGGATATTAATCATGAGGAAAAAATAAGTTCTTGAATGAATCAAAACTGGATAATCAAACTTAAAAAATGGCAAAAGAGGGGGAAAGTGTTTTCCTTGTTCAAGCAACATAGAAATTAAAAACAGTGTCCAGGTGACAACTCTCTCAGCTCTCTCACTGTATTTTCGTTTAGCTAGGGATGCTCCATTGCCTGAAAATCACAGTAAAGTGACCTGGCCTTCAGGTCAGTCGAACGAGACCCTAAGAGAGGGGGTGAGAATGGGGTGGGACAAGAGATGCGAAGAATGAAGACCAAGACAGGCTGTCTGATCAACTTCTTGGTATATTATTTTTAGTATATCCTTTAATAGGCAGGGCGAAAGGAATGTAATTGCCTTTAGCATGGTTACTAAGTAACTAGAAATCACAGGATGACCCACCAGAGAAGGAGGAGTCACAAGATGTGCTAATAATGGTGTATCACAGGACAACCTATCAAAAGAGTCACAAGGTGTGTTAATAACGATTGTTTGGAAAGTTCCTCAGAAGTGTTACTCGGGAAGCCCCGAGGGGGAAGGAGGGTTTAAGGTGTTTCAGGAAGAAGACTTTATCGCAAGCCCCAGGTCAGCCAGGAATGCACTACTGTCATTAAACATGCCAAGAATTCTGGGGGCAGCAAAGTGCCAGAAGGCACCCCACAGTAAAGCATTAGATAAGGAACTTGATCATCAATCGAATCTTAAATACCTACCATTTCCTGATGAGGACTTATGAGAGCCTATGAAACAGCTAATTTTACAACCTAAGCAAGCTAGGGCACACAGGGAAGAGAAATTTCTTAACCAATTCTTTTTCTGCCTCATGAACTACACTGGGTATTTCAAGTAAATTTTAGCAAAATCAAAATGTTTTACACCTGATTATGCACTAACTAATTTGTTTAAAACACTAGAAATGTAGATGGCATTGAACAGTCCTCACAGACCTGGACAGGCAAGGGAAGAGCAACAGCTATTGAACTCAGACTAAAACAGGCATCTGTGTATCCTGTGGATCCTATAAACTAACTTATTTTACCTAGAAAACTGTCTTCTACAGGTCTTAGAATACCAGACAACACACCTTTGGATTGAATTTATTTACACCACAAGGGTCAGAAGATATTAGCTGCTTTGCTTAATCTTGCTCAATTAGTAAATCTGGGGATGACTTGTTGCTACCTATCAGTTATCTCTGTGATACTTGCTGCATTGTATTGCCTCTAGCTAACAATGTGTTTTCAGAGCATTACACAGTCTACAGATTTTCAGATCTTATTTGTAGATTACCAGGGAAGAATAGGAAGTCGTTATCTAGCTGGCAAGATGTGGGATTCTTGCATAGAAACTGAATTTGTGATTACAAAAATTGTCCACCCTTCTCCCATCCCACAGGCAGATACTAATTTTATTGGTGGCTAATTTAATGGAATAGAAGGGATTCATGGCCCAGATATTCATTATTCATCTATTAATAATTATTTTCTTCAGGTGAACTGGCTGGATCATTTCAGATTCTGCACACTATCATCCATGTTTTTTGTTTTTTGTTTTTTCTTTTTATGCAGAATGAGATAGGCAGGCTGATGCACTAACCTGCTCTGTTTTTACTTCTCCTGAACAGGAACATCAACACCTACATACGAATGCTAATAAACTTCATGTACCACGTCCTGCTTAGACAAAGGTGATAATGTTCTGCCCAGTTCACGAACCCCAAAAGACCAGGAATAAACAGACTCCGCTGTAAATACATGAGGTTCTTTTTATTGTAAATTACAAGCTGCAGCTTGGGCCCACATCCCCCAGCTCAGAACCGGTGGGAGCTGAGCACCCTGTGCCCAGGTTAGTTGGATGATTTAAAGATTCTGGTCCCTCCCAGCATGCCCAAGGCAGGGGCGATTCCTGCCTAGCAAGCATCTATTGGTCAAAATGCTACATTTTGAACTGATTGACAATAGGAAGGTCCTCAGACCATTAATGACCTGGTGTCCCTTCCTAGGGGGATGGGCCAGTTTCCTAGCAACTGTATCTCTAGTGGGTGGGGGAAGAATGCAGTAAGGCAGTCCTTCCCCTCAGGGCATTACTGGACTTCTCCACCCATCTAGTTCAGGCCTTAATTAATAATGGCTGCTAATTTTTAATCTTTTGGTCTCTCAATAACTGTGCAGGAATGTCCTTTGT